CACACGCACTAAACTTTCTCCCCCAACAATACCTTTTGCAGTGTTATTACCCTATATACACATATTATATATAAATATCTACATGTTTTATGCACCGTAACTGTACACCTAAGCTTGTAGTGCGCCCAAAGAGCATAGTGGCCACCCTCTAAACAGCTAGACAAATCGTGCAGACGACGTCACCTCCGTCACCCATATGGCTCCTCCCAGCATAATCCTTTTGCTGTTATTACACTAATACACACATTATATATAAGTATCTACATTTGTGTTCACCATAGAGAACCACTGACCTGGTATGGTGAATGCAAACAATAACAGGTGGCCACACAGTCAGTAAACGATGCTGTCTCCCTCCGTCTCTCAGCATCACTCCTCCCACAGCGCTAATTATTACAACAATCCTGCTATTATCACAACCCTGGTTATTTATATCACAGTCATTGGTCATCTGTAATATTGTCATCGCTAAATAATAACAATTATATATTTATTTTGACATTTTTCGGCGATGCTGTGGTCACAAGCTGAACATCAATGCTGTTCGCTCATGCTGCGTGCGCCGGCCTTGGTTGCTCCAACAGTACTGTGCCTCTCACACCTGAGAATATTGCCCACGATTTTTTTTAAAAATGGCATCTGTTTACAAGAGCCCTGAGGAAGCTACTGTGAACCCCGAGTAGCCGCGGGCCATTTGAATCAGGCCTAGCACCCTATGGCGTATATATACGCCATGCGCACCATGGGACATGTTACTCAGGGCGTATATATACGCCATGTGCAGTTTAAGGGTTAATCTCCTCCTTATGTTAGTCATTTTCACTGCTCTGAACTTTAATTGTTAATATCCTTATGACATCTTCAATTTGCCTCTATACACAATTGCGTGCACTGCTGCTCCTTCATGACATAATTTAATGAAGATTCTTCCTATATACAGTATTACTATTTCTTTCATAACCAGGGTTTTCATTTGGCAAATACTGTCTTTCTCAAACTCTCTCCACTCTCACCTTTGTCAAGCCTGCCTCTGAGGTATTTAAACTAGTCAGTTACTTTCTAGCAGTTTTTTTTTTTTTACTTTAACCCTTAAACTGCGCAACGCCTGCAGGCCCACGTCTGGTTTGTGCAATGCGCCTCCGGGTATTTTTATTTTTCATGTTCCATTCAAAACTCTCGCGGCTACATGGGATTCACATCAGCTTCCTCAGGGCTCTTGTAAACAGATGCCATCTTTAAAAAAAATCGTGGTCCACATTCCCAGGTGTGGGAGCCTCAGTAGTGTGTGAGCAACCAAGGCTGGCGCTTGCAGTACGAGTGCACAGCACTGCTGTTCAGCGTATGACCACAGCATCGCCTAATAATGTCAAAATATATAATCTGTATTATTTAGCCATGATAGTATTATAGAAGAGCCTGAGTGTGATATTGACTGGGAACAATGTTCAAATATCAGTAATTCAATGCTGTTCACGATGTTCACAGCACTAGCCACAGCACCACAGCATTATTTCGTCCATCTAGGAATCTTCAAATGACTTCTTAGGTTCCTTTTCAAAATAAACGTGTGGTCAATTATTCATTTACAGGAATTAGTGACCAGGATTGTGGTTATAATTAGCATTGTGCATAGTATTGTGGAAGGAGGAATTTTGGTGAGGGAGGGAGAGAATTGAGGTAGCCTCACTGTGTGTATGTGGCGGCCACTTTTGTTTTGCTCACCATACTAGCTTAGTGGTTCGCTATGGGGAACACATATGTACATGGGTATATACAGTGTGTGTATAGTGTAGTAACAGCAACAGGAGTATGCTGGGAGGAGCTATTTTGGTGAGGAAGGTGACGTCATACTCGTAGCGTCGTCTGCTGTCTGCTGTGTGATTTTTCATGCAGTGTATGGTAGCAACTGTACTGTTTGGACACAATACTGGCTTACTTGCATAGTTCTGGTGAATAAAACATGTAGATAGGTATACATATGTAAATAGTGTAATAAAAACAGTAAGAGTATGGAGAGAGGAGGGGTGATGGCAAGTAAGATGTTGGAGGAGAGAGGGAGGACTGGCTGGCTGGGAGTGGCTGCTCACACTCGAGGAGTTCTGTGTGTGTTGATGGCGAATGTATATACTGTGTGACAGTGTATAGTGTGTAAATAGATTGTATATATACATAAATTAACATTATACATGGTAAATATGTGCAACATATGTGTACACAAATGTCATGCACGTAACACAGTGTCTTCGGACAGTACAGATGTTTTACTGCCATAATATAGTGTACATGTTCATTATATATAGGATTGGCACGTAAAAACAAATAAAATGTATTTGGAACTGTGCGCAAAAAATGAACAAAAATATATTCGCGGCAACTCACACGTCCCGCCCCTGGCGCCCTACTGGCCCCGGGAGCATATGTCACGGTGCGAATGGGGAATGATGACGTCACTGGCCAACTTACGGACCCCATAGCAGCCAAAGTAAATACAATTTCGATTTTTTTTTTTACATACCCATACTGAGGGAAGGGTTTTTGACACTTTAAAAATCAAAAGATTTTTTCCAGAGAATTTATTTCCTGCACACTGGGGGATGTCAAATTTGGAGGCAACACAGTTAAGGGGTTAAGCCACTGATAATTTGCTTAACCCTTAAACTGCACAATATATCTATAGCTGGAGTGAGTAACTATCGCAGGACTGCACACAGCTATGTATGGTTGGGAATACCACGTAAGATTTAAAAGTCCCAGGGTTTCACATCAGCTTCCTCAGGGCTCTTGTAAACAGACACCAAATTTTTTAATAATCGTGGGCAACATTCCCGGGTGTGAGAGCGTCAATACTGAGTGAGCAACCAAGGCTGGCTGGCTTGCAGCATAAACTAACAGCCCTGCTGTTCAGCATGTGACCACAGCATAACCTAAAAATGTCAAAATATATATACAATGGCACCTCGACATACGATTGCCCCTACTTACGATAATTTTGAGTTACGATGTAAATTTCATAAAAAAATGCGACTCGACATCCAATGGTGTTATCGACTTCCGATATTTGTTGGTGCACGTTCGGGTCGACCGAGCGCGTGGTTCCCGGTCACGCGTCCGACCTGCCTCAGTTTACTGCAGCTGCTTGCTTAGTGATGATCGCGCCTATAAGAAATTCCGCTTTTGTGGTGATTTTTTGCATTTTGAACATTAAAGTAATTATTATATATCACGCCATGAGTCCCAGGAAAGTCAGTGGTAAGGCTCAACATATGAAAACCCATGTAAGGATGACCATAGAGCAGAAACAAGGGTACAGAATGTCTCTTCCTCAACAATTAAGAAAATGTGTGCAGCATGGGAAGAATTGCAAACCTTTGCTGAAACGACTCACCCAAATCAAGCTGCAGTAGGTCGTTGCCTTAACCTATTCAATGACACTGTGATGCATCATTACAGACAAATGTTAAAACAAAGGGAAAAACAAATGTCTCTTGACAAATTTGTAGTGAGACAAACAAGCACTGAACCACAACCAGGTCCTAGTGGTATTCAGGCAAAACGTAGGAGAGAGAGTACCCCAGTAAAACATCACTGCCTGATGTGATAATGGAAGGGGACTCCCCTTCCAAACAGTAACAACTCTCCTCCTCCCCCCTCATCACCATCTTCCATACACCATCAAGAGCCCTCCTTAAAGGTAAGAGAAACTTTGGTACTGTATTGTAGTTAGAAAAAAACATTGTATTCAGTGTAAAATGTATTTGTATGTTAATATTTTGGAGGGTGGGGAACGGATTAATTCAATTCCCTTTATTTCTTATGGGAAAAATCACTTCGACTTACGCTCCGTCTCTGGGAATGGATTAGCATCTTAAGTCGAGACCCCATTGTATATGTAATTGGCATTATTTGGCAAAGATATTATTACAGAAGACCCCTGACTGTGATAAAAATGACCAGGATACTGATAATAAGAGCAATGTTGTGATAATTAGCGCTGTGCGTAGTATGGTGAGAGGAGTAATGCTGAGGGAGGGAGGGAGGTAGCATCGTCTGCTGACTGTGTGGACACCTGTTACTGTCTGCACTCAACATACCAACTTAGTGGTTCGCTATGGGGAACACAAATGTAGATACTTATATATAACGTGTGTGTATTAGTGTAATAGCAGCAAAAGGAGTATGTTGGGAGGAACCATTTTGGTGAAGGTGAAGAACGGAATCAAATCACACTATAGACTGAAAAAGCAATGTAAAGGACCAAGGAGTAATCATGTCAAAAGACCTTACCTTTACAGAACATCAAAGTAGCTGTCACGACTGCAAGAAAAACTACAGGTTGGATAACAACGACCTTCCAAACAAGGGATGCCATACCAATGATGATACTTTTAAAGACACTAGTGCTCTCTAGGGTGAAATATTGTTGCTCTAACAGCCCCATTCAGAGCCGGAGAAATTACTGATCTGGAGAGCGTGCAAAGATCCTTTACCGCTAGAATCCATTCTATAAGTCATCTAAATTGATTGGGACTGATTAAAAGTTCTAACTCTGTATTCTCTAGAGCGCAGACGAGATTCATAATAATCTACACGTAGCAAGATATTAGAGGGACTAGTTCCAAACCTGCACACAGAAATAACACGTCACATTAGATCAGAAGGTATGGCAGGATGTGCAAAATACCCCTGTTGAAAAGCAGAGAGGCAATAGGTATGCTGAGGGAGAACTCCATAAACATCAAGGGCCTAAAACTTTTCAACACTCTTCCACTTCACATAAGGATAACTGGCAGGCCTCTCAGTGTTCAAGAGAGATCTCGATATTCACCTCCAGATTACCTGATTACTACCTGATTACCCAGGCTGTGATTAGTATGTCAGGCTGCGAGCAGCTGCTTCTAACAGCCTTGTTGACCAGATGACCAGCCGGAAGGCCTGGTCGGAGACCGGGCCGCAGGGGCCATTGATCATTGGAAGCTAAACAAGGTAGACACAAGGTAGAACACATCACTAAAACCTTTATTCAATCTCTACAAACTTGTCACTTACACAATTTTATGATCTGGTATTGGCACATCCCATGTACGTCTTGCTATGTAATAACAATCAGGCACTTACACGAGTTTATGACACTGGGTACTGGCACGTCCAGTATATGTCTTACTGCATAAAGATGGTCAGCCACTTACACGAGTTTAAGATACCGGGTATTGGCACGTCCAATGTACGTCTTGCTGCATAATGATAACCTGTTAAAAAAAAAGATAAGTGATCAGCAAGACTTAAGCGACACACAGCAAGTTCACTCAAATTGTGTTTTTTTTTTGGGTAATCTAAATATTTCCTTATCAGACAGATATTACTATCTACTGTGACTTGTGTTTTCTGATGTGTATAGTAAATACAAATTTTAGCAAGTAGTATAAACCAGCGGTCTTCAACCTTTCCACACCTGCGCACCGGTGAAAATAAGATAAATATTTCACAGACCGGCTGACGGCTAAGACAGAAATAAACACCAATGTAGATAGTATATTATTAAATTTAATGTTATAAAATTACAATTCCTACTTACTGCAACATTTGCTGCCACTTCTTTGATAGAATATTTTATATACGTGGCTGCAGTGTTGCGTCTGAGGGACGAAGCACTGTATTAACATCCAATTGATTTCTGTTTTGCTTTTATTATTGACATGGCTGAAAAAGTATTTTCACACAAATAGGAAGTAAAAAAAAAAAAACGCTAACAATTTGATAGCTTTATAATTCATAGATGGATATTTTTTATCAAGTGATGTCCAAAATTGAGACAATGATAGCATTACACACAGAGATCACACTAACGTGATTCATCAAATGAGAAAATCCACAAGGGCCGTGACGAGGATTCGAACCTGCATCAGGGAGCATCCCAGACACTGCATTTTATGCAATGATAGCAGTTTATGTCTGGACACCACCAGTGACATCAGATGATAACTTGATTATCTTTTCTTTTTCATAAGGATCAAGCGCGCATGATTATATATTTTCCAAGAAGGGATTATTAATCGAGAGATTACCTTTAGGAGAATTCTCATTTTGAGGAAAATTATTATTAAAGTTTTAATTAAGCTAATGCCCTTAAATGTTGACTTATTATGTTGAATATGACTTTCAAGTTGACAGCAGCAGCAATCAAAAATTCTCCCAAACGTGGAAACCTTTCAATATCTTCATCGTTTATGTGACTATCAAAAAGTACCAGCTTCTTTTTTAACATAATCATTTTTGTTCTAGCGTGTAAAAATATTTGTACAAGACCCCTGAAGAGAAATATTAAGTTCGTTAAGAAGGTTAAATATATCCACCATATATGCAAGCTCAACCATCCATTACTCAATCAACAAAGGCTCTATTAGGGCAGATTTTTGCTCTCCCAGAAACTGTTTTACTTCTTTCCTCAATTTGAAAAGGTATACAAGAATCCTTATTCTCAATAACCAACTCACTTCTGCATGGAGAAGATGTTGGTGGTGTGACTCCATACTCTCACACAGTGTCATGAACAACCTAGAGTTCATAGTTCTATTACGAATTTCATTAATGATCTTCACCACATCAATTATCACAGCTGCAGACACCAGACATTGTTGCACTCACGGAGACAAAACTTGAAGATATTATTTTAAATGAGGTCATATTCCCAAGGGGCTACTCAATTTGGAGACGGGACAGAAAAATTAGGAAAGGCGGTGGCGTTGCTGTGCTGGTGAAAGAACACCTAAAGGTGAAAGAAATAATGACTGCCAATCCACAAGAAGTTGACATAATAGCACTAGAGATCTGCCATGAGGATGATAAACTAATGATCATAAATGCATATAGTCCACCGCCAAGCAGCACATGGTCAAAGGAGGAGCTAGATAGTAAACGCTAAGGTCTTGTAACAATAATGAGAGAGATTATAGCGAGAGCGGATAACGATAGATCAAGACTGTTGATAGTCGGTGACTTCAACTTGAAATCCATAGACTGGGAAGCATATGAAGCTAAAACAGAAGATTTTTGGACCTGTAGATTTGTAGGCCTTATCCTGCAAACATTCATGTATCAACATGTTAAACAAGTTACGAGGATGAGGGAAGGGGACATTCCCTCCATGCTAGATTTGATATTTACCAGGAAGGAGGAAGAGATACTTGACATTCAGTACCTTCCTCCCTTGGGTAAAAGTGACCATGTCTTTTTGGGAATAAAGTATGCAATGCGTTATAATCTGGAAGAAAATAAGGAGGTTGAAGCAGTTGAAAAACCTGACTTCAGGAGAGGACATTATGGCCACCTTAGAAATTTTTTTAGTGAGTATAATTGGACAGACTTAATGCTAGACAAGCAAGTGAATGAGATGTATGTCAAGTTTTGTGAAATATATGATAAAGGCACAAAAAAATTTATACCAAAACAGAGATGCAGAACTAGGAAACAGGATTGGTTCAATAGAAATTGCGAGAGGGCCAGAGACCAAAAGACACAAAAATGGAATCAATACAGGAAGAGGCCAAACCCCCAAACATATCAGCGATACAAAGATGCGAGAACCCTGGAAACACAAACCGAAACTGTCTCTATTTTCCGCTTGTTACAACTTGTAATAAAGTTGTTACATCTTGGCTTAACGTGTTTATGACGTATTAGAACGTTGTTACAACTTGCTATATTGGTTGTTATAACTGGTTAGGAGGTGTTAAAACTTGTTCGAACGTTGTACCAACGTCGTAGTTTCGGTGTGTGTTTGGCGGGAAACAACTACACGGCAGTGAGGAGAGAGGCAGAAAGAAATTTTGAAAAAGGGATTGCAGACAAATGTAAAACAGATCCAGGTCTATTCTATAAATTCATAAACAACAAATTACAAGTAAAGGATAATATTCAGAAGTTGAAAATGGGAAATAGATTCACGGAAAATGAAAAGGTAATGTGTGAAACACTAAACGAAAAGTTCCAAAGTGTGTTTGTACAAAATGAAATCTTTAGGGAACCAGACACAATAAGAATTCCAAAGAACAACATAGAGCACATAGAGATGTCTAGAGACGAAGCGGAATAAATGCTCAAGGAGCTAAGTAAGAACAAAGGAGTTGGTCCAGATGGAGTTTCACCATGGGTTCTGAGAGAAGGTGCACCGGAGCTCAGCATTCCACTTCAAATAATTTTTCAGACATCCCTGTGTACAGAAGTTGTAGCTGACGTGTGGAAGAAGGCTAACATAGTTCCAATCTACAAAAGTGGAAGCAGGGAAGACCCCTTAATTATAGACCTGTATCATTGACAAGTGTAATAGTCAAAATATTGAAAAAACCAGCGTTGAATGTAATGAAATGGCATTTTCTGGGCGAGTCCCAGAGGCTCCCCGGAGCTATCCCATGCTGATATGCTAATGTCAGACTTTGGCATCAGTCATTTGTATGGAGTTCTTAGGCCTACCGGGGACCATGGCCAGAACCGGGTCCCCTCAGAGAGGCAAGGGGAGCATTGGCCTATAGAAGCCCCCGTGTGGTTGGAAGCATTCTATGTCTGCCATCGACCGGAACAGGCACCCAGAAAGGTAAGCGCCTCAAAACAAACCCCTATTCTGGTTAAAATTGCTACCAAAAACCGAACTAGTGGATAGAACTCCCCAACAGAAAACAAGCAAACTAGTGTGACGTCACACGCTGCCGCGCCGCTGTCTGCGCAGCTCCCCCCTCCCTGGGAGGGGGAAGGGGAAGCCCCAGACCCTCCACGCCGGCTACCCACACCTCAGTTCTTGAGGCTGGATGTCAAAAACGCGAAAAAAAACGCCGAACGGAGGGAGGGAGGGATGCCGGGGAGCCTCTGGGACTAACCTAGAAAATAGCGTTTCATTACATTCAACGCTGGTCTTCTGGGGGGAGCCCCGTCGGCTCCCCGGAGCTAACTACCCACAGACGGAAAAAGAGGGACTTACCCGGGAGGTGGTCGTCGCTCACCCCTCAACTCGAAGCCGAGACAACTGGCTGCAACCGCAGACCCAAAGCAACACAGGCCCGACGGGGCCCAGGGACATTCACAAGGTAACGAGCAGCCAGGACCCTGTTCGACCACCAAAAGCCCCGCGCCCGAGTATCAGACCAAGACATATTCCCAAAGACGGCAGCAAGAGCCGCGAACTTACGAACGTCATGGGCACGGGGATAAACCGCAGGCTGTCTGGACTTAATAACCCTGCGGACGACCTGGGAGACCCAAACCCGCGAACAGGGAAGAAAGGAAATCGGATCAACCCACAGCGCGTCCCCGGACACAGAAGCCATGGCGTGCAAATAACGGCGAAGCGCCGCAACCGGACACAAAACATGATGCACCCCCAGCCTGACCAACCAAGCATCAACCACCCATGGACCCCTCCGGAACGCAGCAGTCTCATTCTTCGCCAGAAAAGAAGGAGACGGCTGCAAGCGAACAAAACAATCACCACGACCAAAAGAGCAGAAACCCCTGCGCTGGAGCAGAGCATGAAGCTCCCCTACCCGACCCCCAGAGGCCAAAGCCAACAAGAAAAGTGCCTTGAAAAAACAATCCTGGACCGAAGGGGCCACCACGAAACGAGGAGATGAAAGGAAAGCGAGCACTCTGTCCAAAGACCAGGACAGCTCAGGCGGCGCATGAGCAGGCCGGAGGTGAAACAATGCACGAGACAGCTTGTGAAACGGCGCAGATGTAACATCGATACCGAAGGCAAGCTGAAGCGGCTCCGCCAGCGCCGCACGATACGAGGCGACAGTGTTAAGCATAAGATGACGGTCCTGAAACAACCACGAGAGGAAGGACAAGACCACCCAAACAGACAAGGAACTAACACGACGAAGACGCAAAAAGAAACATAAGGACCGCCAGGAAACTTCATACTGCCACCGAGAAGAAGCCCTCAGGTGGGACACCAACAAGGAGGCCACCTGATCACCATAGAGATGATGATAAGCCCGATCTGCTGAAAGAGGCGGAGCCGCGGGAAAACCCTCAGGTTCGGACACCGAGGAATCAGCGCCTAAAACCAAGGCTGAGCCGGTCACCAAGGGGCCAGAAGGACAACTCTCCCCTGGTAAGTCTCTAAGCGAGTCAGGACCTGGAGCAACAGCCGAACTGGAGGAAAGAGGTACAGGAACCCCCACCTCGACCAGTCTAGCCGAAAGGCGTTGACCCCGACGGCCTCGCTATTGGGGAAGGGGGCCACATAAACGGGAAA